TTATTCCTATGAAACTTGCTCATTAGGGCATGGAGCCAAAAAGCTTTGACCTCCTGGGTATCAAATTCCTGCATCGTTGGGCCCATAGAGCAAGTGCACAGATGTTTGCGAGCCAAGTGGCTAATTTCTGATTTAGCTCTATGCTAATTTGAAAGGAGGTAAAATTATTTAATTTTGTGGCTCTTGTAGACTTTGGAAATGCTGTTGAACTGAATGGATTAAATCCCAATAGTGAAACGAGTCATATCGCCGGGGTTGTGACGCTCCAAAAAAAGTATCCAGTGATTTATAGACGTCTCTCCAGTCTGCAGGAAAGATCTTTTTGGGCCCAATGGCATCACATGACTACTGCAGAGGATGCCTTGGCTTGGTTTCATCTGGTAGATATTCCTAGTCACCAAAGAGTATCAATAAAAGTTCTTTGCAGTTACTATCCCGTTACCAAAGAAGCAGAAATGGGATATGGTGGAACATCTAAAGTGACAGAAACAGGAAGTATTCTGGTTATCTTTGCAACAGCGGTGCCGCCACTTGGAAATGCTTGAGGGGAAGACATGTAGAGAAGTTGTCTATTTCCACTTCAATTCTTGCAGAAACACAGGTATGGTCCTTTTGGAATCAGCCAGCTACAAACTAGCGCCTCAGGAGTTGTATCTTCTGGTCACACTGCAAAGGTTGGTCTCCACTGAAATAACAAGCTGCCGTATTTCTCTGTTTTTACATTTAGTTTAATGGAGCAGCACAGTCATCACTGTCTACGTCTTCTGTGTAAATACAGTACGTACCTAATGAATTATTCTGAGAATGAGGTTAACTAGAAAAGAGCTAATTACTGAAACCTGACCTCCTACTCTTATGTTTTGTATGCCCCGTGTCAGCAGGCATGTAAACCGGAACACAGAAAGCTAATACTGTGGTATGTTTTACTGTAGCTGATGCATCATTAATGCAGAAGGATGCTCCCTGCAGGTCAGCACATCTCCAAGAGACCTCTCAGGGGCAGTGGAGATCCTCCAAACGGCTCCTGAAGCTGCTTCAATGCGTTCAAGAGGAAACATGGCAAATAGTTTGGCAATGACTGTGTTTGTACTGTGTGGGGACCAGTTTGCACCATCAGGCGAGGGATAAGGGCACCATGGTATCATGACAGACATGAAGCACACCAGCATATACACACATGCCAAGGCCTCCAGTGAGTCAGATTGTTATTAATAGACCCAAACAGCAGGTGCTGTCACTCTGTCTATTGCTCACAGCCAATTATGAAGCTCTGCAGGTGTGCCCAGCCGTCCACACAACAGTTAATCCAATATCCATCCCCTCTTCTTCTTCTTCTTCTTCTGTCCTTCAACCTTTGCTCTCTCTTCTATATATATGTCTACTTTTAGAAGCACGTGCCTTCTCTCAGACACACAAACAAACAAAAGAGGAAAAAACCCAGTCATGGAAATGTTATCAGGTCAACCTCCTCCTGTGGCTAGGACTCAGTACATCAGCTCTGTCTCTCAACAGGATGGAGAGAAGTGGAGGTAAGAACGAGGTCAATGGTATTTGAAAAGAAAAGGAATGCGTAGATAAATGAAAGGCAGCAAAACAGCGTACAAAAATACAGGATGCCATTCAGAACATACAGTAGTCCTGCACAAGCACTTAAAGAGGGGGTTAGCAAACCGTAGTGTCATGCCCGCAGTACAGTGTTTCTCATTACATCCTGTCTGCTGCAAAATGCCAGCGGCTGGGTTGAACTGCAGGTGAGCGCCTTACAATGTTTATCTGTGATGCTCGTCTCCCGTCGGTCCACCTTCCTGCCTCCCTCAAAGGGCAGAATAAACATTCAAAATGTCTTCCACTCAAGGGTTCCCTGCTCGACTCACGCCTGCTTCTGTTTGCAGAGTTAGGTGGAAATCTATTTAAATCCGTGACATCATAGTGAGATTAAAGATAATAAAAAAACATTTCAAACACACCTGCCTGACTTGATCTGTTTAATGACATAACTCCTTAAAAACCTCTAAAATGTTAAGTTCTTGGAACTAAGAAAAAAAAAGCCCTGTTTAAAGGGAACCTTTTTCAACTCGGACACAATGTCCCCATGTTTTTGTGTCTAAGTGACTAATGGGAACAACATCTGGTCCAGTTTTGGTCCAGAGACAGCGCAGTGAAACTGGCGTCAATTTTCATCCACTAAAAGAGTTTGTTTTTGCCACTGACAGGCTCAGATTATTACTATAAGTGCCTGACAACACTATGGAAAGGATTACTCCATTTTTTTAACCGGAAACAGCCCCAAAACCACCATCATCAAACCCACCAGACTCCATTTGAATAAAAAAGAATTTTATCAGCATAAAACATACGTCATTCAAAGTCGACAGAATCAAAATGAAACTCACAAAAAGCTGTCTTGGTTTGTCTTTCCACTGCTCCAACAATCGCTAACTTTGCTTTGGTTGAAATAAACATGCTGTTTCTTCACATGCTAAAATGCTGTTTCTTTAAATGGAGTCTGGTGTGTTTGGCACTGGTAATTTTGCGGATGTTTCTGGTTGAACTCTAAAGGCCAAAACACACCTGCTGCACACAGCATGCATCAAAAATACATACGCCCCTATTATTTTCAATGTACAACCCCACACCAGCAGCAACTAGACGCAAGTCAGCGCGTGACCCCGCTGCACATGACGCCATAGTCTCTTACACAGACGCCGATGACATCAGCACGCTGGCTGACTCTGTCGTCTGTGGACGTTCCCATAGGAAAGTTGTAATAGAACTAGGGCTGGCTCCCAGCGGCAGTGATGTGATTAGATCCAAATCCGTGTACTTCCGTACTTCCTCGACCAATGGCTGATAAGCTTTGCCTTACACCCGCCCACACTGGAATTGCTGTTCCCCAAATTGTTGTCCGTAGTACAACAGAAAAGGAAGTGTTCAGTGCATCGCAAGAAGAGATTAAAATGGATATGATTTCATTTGATTCAGCTATACTGCAGAGCTGCAATGTCTCTGTTACATCTAACACACATGCCGCACCTATGGCAACGCCGTCACGTGGTCTGGATATCCCCGCCCATTTCTATTACAAAACGAAAGACGAATGTCCCCAGACTCCCATTCTGAAGTTAGGGAGGTTGGTCACGCGAGACTAATGACGCCACTGTCCTATTTCCAGCCTTTGTCGCCCCCGCAATTAAATGCGTTTCCCCCCCTCTCACTCTCTGCTTGTACACACCAGCTCCCATAGCAGCTCTTTGTCTATGCTCCTGTGGCAGCTCGACTCCTCTCCTCACCATGGATGTATAAAGAGAACTCTGCAGCTGTTGCCGTGTCTCATGTGTCATGACAAATGGATGAGGAGAGACTCATTGTTGAGGTCGAAAAAACCCCAAGCTAAACGACCCACAGTCCTGTTGTTATGAAGACAATGGCCTAAAAGATACTTACTGGGCTCTTCAGGTGAGAAATCAATTTTAATTAGTGGCCCTCCACACATGATTTTAGGCTCATGCGGAGGTGGAGGAAGAACAAATCTTTCAGTTAAAGTACTTTGCATGGTCGTCTGTTGACGAGCTGCAGTGCAACATGTCCAGCATGTGTAAAGGGCGGCACTTGATACGCTTCACTTGACACGCAGCGGCAGCACCAGCACCAGCACCAGCACCAGCACCAGCGTGTTTTTAGCTTTACTCTTACTCTTAAACATAAAGGTCTTTCTCTGTGAGGATCCTTTCCATAGGTTGACAGTGGTCAGCTCCTCGCTCAGTACTGGACCAGTTTCAAAACTGTTGTTCCCGTTTATCACTTAGAAACAAAAACAGAGCAAAATAGGGTCCAGATCTGAAAACACTGAAGTTACCCTTTAAACTAAACCACTTAAAACATGTAATCCTTCAACTTAGTATAAAGCCTGTAAATCACCAACACTGGAGATAAAATTTTGTTCGAGAGAAAAGATCAGCGTCTAATCTGTTAGCTTAGTCCTGTGTATTGTTCAGCATCACTTTGTCAGGTTTGGTTCAAACGCAGCATCACAACATACAAGAATATGAGTAGAAAAGCTGAGTTAAAAGAACAGGTATCAGGTGTTTGCCTGCGTCAAGAAGAAACACACAGTTGAACTCAAAAGGCCGAGTGGAACGCCATCACTTACAGGTAAGCACACCTATGAGCTAAGATCAGTAGCACCTGCTGGACACCATTTTCAAACACATTTAAAAGCATCACTGAGCTATAAAGTTACTGTTGTCACTCCTTCAGTCACGTCACACTGAGTTACACACCCTCGCCCACTCTCCTGTAACTTATTATTATTGCTACATCAATACTGTGTACATCATCACTGCTGCAGGCATCTGTTCTACACACTAACACATGTACAGTCTTTGAGCGTCACTTCGCTCAACATGTTGGTATAGTGAGGAGGTTATGTGATCCACACATGTACTACAGCAGACATGTTGTACTACAGTATCAACACACATCCGCAACTTCTCCAATTACCGTGTCTCCTCTTCGCTACACCTCTTCTCCTTGCGTTTCAGCCGTCCCCTCCCCAAGTGAACATGACGGGCTGGTGGAGATAACAAGAGCCTGTGTGTGTGTGTGTGTGTGTGTGTGTGTGTGTGCTGCTGGTTATTTTACACAATACATGAGTGTAGCAGTTAGATGATGAAAGGTGTGTGTGCGCAGAGTTGCAAGCGGATCTTTGTGTACTCTCGTTAAAAGTTTAGAAACAGACCAGACAAGAAGTCCAGCTTTTGTTAAGAGATTCAAGTCTGGAAAGAAATTAGATATATCAGCCAATGTCTGAATGAACAAGACGTTTCATTTGTCCAAACTCCCAAACCTCATAATAAGCACTGATACTTTAGATAAGTTCAATTATCTAATCAAATTATCGGCTTTAAAACCAGCCGCCAGCGATTTGACCAGCTGAGTGTCAGGTGACACCATCAGCTGGCTTGAGTCGAGCTCAGACCGGCCAGTTCACACCGCTGCCACCTTTCACCGCAACGTTCTAAAACGGTTTCATCTCGGCACAAATCTTTGGTCTGAACTGGACTTATATTCTTTTCAGTTACCATCCACCATCGTGGAACAACCACATTAACTGTGGAAAAACAAAATGCAGCGTCAAACCACTGCGCAACGAAAGCGGGAAGAGGGCAGCGCTTTTGTTTTCCTTTGTAGCTATCGGCAGCTATCCCCATTTAAGAGATTCAAGTCTGGAAAGAACCAACGCAGTCAATTAGATAAATCAGCCAGTGTTTGAATGAACAAGACGTTTAATCTGTCCAAACTCCCAAACCTCATTAATAACCAATGATACTTTAGATAAGCTCAATTATCGAATCGAATTATCAGCGTTAAAAGCAGCTGCCAGAGATTTGACCAGCTGAGTTGCAGATGACACCATCAGCCGGCTTGAGTCGAGCTCAGTAATGGCAGACGGTCAAACACCCTAGTGGAAATCAAAATGCAGAGTTGACTGTGTGTTGGGAGTTGCTAGCCTCTGAGGGAAAAGGAAAAAAATTTGGTTGTCTTTACGAGCGTGGCACAAACTCTAACAACGGAATGACAGAAATGCCAGAGGGGGGGAAGTTAAAAAGTTGTCTGTTTCTACTTGAAGCTGCTGTGTGAGTTCAGTTGCATTAACTGCATCTAAAGGAAAATTAGAATTACCATAAAACTTTTGTGAGTTTAAAGAAGTAATACTACATTACAAACATAGGCTACTTGAATCTGTCTCCACCTGTGTGTTTTTTCTGGGTCACATCCTGTCAATCAGTCGCTTACAGCACCACTTGCAACACTGTAAACACACACACACACACACACACACACACACACACACACACAGGTGATCTTGTTGCCTTCCCAGGGGACGAGCTGAAATGCTGAGGCAGAGAATAACTCGTGCCATCATATCTCCATTTCTCATTCTACCTCCAAACACCAACAGGACCGTGAACATCACGACAGCCCCGTTGTCACAAATTATTCAGGCGACTATTATTTCCCGTCTAATGAGGAAAACCCGCAGAGTTACAATATTGAGTCACACATTTTCTCACAGAAAAGCAAGCAGGAGCCGTCAAAAAGTTCAAGAACCCGTGATGAGAGTCTCTCTTTGCCTTTCCACGGCTGAGTTACGACATTCATGATGAGCCTCTCTACAGGCCGGACCTTTCAGTGATAATTTGATGACCTCACCGTAAGGCTTTAACAGACACACTGCTTCAGTCTAGGCTAGTCTAGACACATACTGCACTGGATAAAGGGATACACACACTGCCAGAGAGAAAAGCCTCTGTCTCCTGTGGTGCTTTTTTGTTCTGTCTCTCTCGTATCTCCTCATCTCTGTTATCCTCTGTAATTACTCTGTCCGCTCCCTTTTTCATCAGATGCGGCCGTTGCCGTGCGTGCTGCTTCGGCGGCCAGACAGAGGGTGGGAGGAGTAGTGCAGCTCGGCAGTGGAGAAGGTGGAGGACGAGGAGTTGGAGGAGGAGGAGGAGGAGGTGAGTCCGCAGGCTTCGCAGGCCAGAGCCAGCTGCCTCAGGGCATCCAGGGAATCCATCTTAGCTCCTCGCAGCAGATCGCTCTGACCCTGCAGGAGACACAAGTTTGACTCATGCATGCAGTAGATGTGAAGTAGCATTTGTTTTACACGCTGTTATTAGCTGGGACTGTTTCCTGGTATGTGATTGGCAGGAGTCCTGGACAACTGCGGACATATTTACCAACTGATTTGAAGCTGCATTCACTGATATTTTTTTTTGGCGTCTTGGGGGCAACACAACAAGTGTTTTTGCAGAGTCCAACATTCACTCACCTCTCAGCTCTGAAGAACATATCTGTCTCTTTGAATGCTAGATTTTCCACTTTGTTCACCAGCTAGTGGCTAACTTTGACCCAATCCCAACAGTCATCAGTCATTAACTACTTTTCCATTTTTTTATTTCAATTGCAGAAACAGTCTGGTGTCACTTTAAAGTGTTTTATGTGACATATTCAGAGTTGTTTCATCATCATCCAATTAAAGTAAAAAATACTAATATTCCATCCCACATGACTGACATTTCACTGTCTCAGAGTCGCAGACACTTTTGGTACAGTTTCACCTCTTATGATATGAAGTAGCCGACTTCATTCATGGTTCTGATGACGGCGCCCGTAACTAAAAGCCCCGCCTCTCCCACATGAACACGCCCGTGGCTAAAGGTCCAGTCAACTCGGCTCGAGTTGAGACTGGACTAGTTGATAACCAGCTTTGTAGTACTGGTTATCCAGACAGCCAGTTTATAACAGTTTAAGAATTTTAGTTAAGGATATTCCACAAAACTAAATCCTGACAACAATTAAAAATAAACGTTTACATAAACATGCACAAAGCTCAATAGCTGTCTCATGTTTTATGTCAGGGATCCAAAATCAATATATCAAAATGTTTTGGTGCTGAGTGAATTTAACAGCCCCTAAACAGGCGGGTTTATTCTCTTTTTTCCTTTACATCAGGACGGCAGATCCATCTGGAGTTTAATACAGTAAAAAGAGGAAAACTCTACCGTTCAGATTCACTGCAAGAAGCACTTGAGCCAAAGCTAACACGGTGGTCTGTCATGTCAAATTAAATTGGTGAATAATGTTATTGCAATAATGTGTAATTGCAACAGATGGAGGCAATAACAGGAAGTGCCTAATTTAGCAATGAAAACGATTAATTTCCATTTTGAATTTGCTACGACAGACTGCTGTTAGACTCAGCTGAACCGTGGAGTGCATTTGTGCCTCTTTGTTGTGTTCAACTTGAACTTGAACTGGTGAATAAAAGTGTAGATGAAATATCAGATATGTCACAGTTACCATGAAACAGAGGGAAGAATAAAAAAGAAAGGTAATTAACCCCATCCATTCTGAGAGTTTTGATATCTTTATGAGTACCTTGAGGACAGTGATGTTCCAGGTGAAACTCTCCACAGCTTTGCACTGCTTGCGTCCCTTCAGTCCCTCCTTCTCCCCGAGCCGAGACAGATCCTCGTGGAAGTCCATGCCTGCAAAACAAACACAGACAGGAGCTTTGCGTCAGTTTACAGAGACGGGCAGGTGTCAACAACTCAGATTCAGGTGAAATGTAACTGATTCTCTTGACTTATTTTTGTGAGTTACTCAAAATGTCTGGAGGCAAATGTCAACAACACGTCTTGATGGGTCGATACTGGATTTACATATTTACGCTGAGGTGTCACCCTGCATGACATTTACATTGACAGATAAAGGTCAGGAGAGACGGGGTCTAATAATGCACAGGTCTGACTGTGCAGACGCCGTCACACTGCTGCGTTACACCTGGAACTGCTCAGCAAACAAAGTGTTAATGCAAGACAAAACTGTGAGGTCTTATAAGTGCAACTTTACTGTAAACGACATTTCAAGTGGAGATGCTTTCTTTAAAAATGAGTCTCATCTCAAAAAGTACAAAAATGAGAGCACCTTTCTCTAATTAGAAATCCATACTGACAAACGTACAAGAGTGTCAAATCACCAGCGAGCACTCGTAATGTTGTTTACTGACAGATCCTCCGAGGAGTCGCCCTCATTAAGTTCGGCTGTTTGATGTTTCCAGTCAGATTCGCTCATTTGGGGAATTTTTAGGATTTGGGCATATCACGTACTGCAGTGGTTTTATTCATGAAAGCTCATCAAAACCATCTTCACTCAGTTCATTAGCGCCTCGTGTCATCTCATCCATTCATCCATCTCTCACTTTACCTTCTCTTTGCACCTGGGCGATCCTCTCCTGAACGGCGTCCGCGTTCTCAATCAGCTGTTTCTGGGCGGCGATCATCTGCACACACAGGAAGACAGTTTGTGTTTAACTCATTCAGCTTGTTTAAAAGCAAAGACTGATCAAAACCACAGAGCTTTTTATTGAAATGGTACGAAGAGTGGTGAAGTTTCCAAACAATACCAAACTAGTCCATACCCATTGGTAGCTTTGTCACCTTCTACCTATGCCAGTCCTCAATGCCTATGTGCAGTTTCACATAGATTGACCACGTCAGTGAGTAGAAAAACGTGGGACAGACACACAGACAGAGTTTTCGTCATTACATAGTAAGATATGTCAGGCTAAAATTGAGGGAAATGTGTGATTTATTTCATAATGATACATCCATAAACTGCATCAGAGCTGAAATGATTAGTCATTTAATAAAACAGATCAACAGGAACTATTTCGATATTATTAATTATTATCATCTAAGTAAGTTTTCGAGCTGTTGCTGCTTCCCTAATGTAAAGTTTTACAACTCTGATGAACATTTTTCACTCCTGTCTCTCATTTTATTGACCAAAGAAAAATATCAGACAGATTTACATGCACTGCACCAGACCAATAAACACTCCCGCTGGTATAGTGCCATAATGTGAGCTGATCCATTTTGACACAGGAAACAAAATGGCAACTGGTTGGAAACAAACAATCTTGAACTACGGCTAAACACAAACCACTGCCTAGTTTTACTTTTTGATGCAGGTAGGTATAGCTGCGGCTGAAACAGCTACGTGACCTGCCCATTATAAGAATACGCCAAGTCAGTGTTTAGCTAGCTATGAACTGTCTGTTTCAAAGAGAGGCAGTTAAAGTCAGGGTTACATTTCGTTACTTATAAGCTGAATCACGTCTTTATATAATGAATTCAAATGTGGATTATTGCTCCGTTTGACCTCATATTCACTCACTATAAGTTCAGATAACTGTGTGTTGGTGGCTTTGTCTTGTGCTGGTGGTGGGCGTGGTTTGTCAGGGCATATGGTGAACGCTACAAACAGAATGAGTCTGCAGTTATACATGTCTTGTTTGATCTCTGCTTTTTCAGCCTCTGTTCTTACAATACAGGAAACAGTATGGAGCCACTTCCTGTTCACAAATTCTCATATTACAGCCAAAAAGTGCACTAAAATATGTTTCTGAAGACATTCTAGGAGAGAAATACATAATTCAGCAATATAATCTTGGTGTATATTTGATCAGCGCTCCCTAATTTGATCAGAGTTTGAGAGAGAGAGGCGGCTCTTATTATCATCAGTTACGATTACCCTGAAAGGAATGAAAGGTGTTTTTTGAGGGAGTGAACAAACACTTCATTATAATCAAAACTTTGGTGGAAGTTTGTGTTAAAAATTCTGGCCAGTGGTGGAGGAGGAGAGGAGATGTTTATGTGCAGCTGAGATTTTCCTTCTGGTTACATTTATTTGTCAGTTTGATAACCATCAACTTTTCTACCACAGTATCTGGTTTCACGGTATTAAAGATAAAAAAGATACCAGGCAAATTCCTTGTATGTGAAAACCTCCCCTGCAATAAAGCTGATTCTGATTCTGAAGTGCAAAAGAACAAGTGGGATTGATTTGATTTCGAGTTGGACGGCAACACAAAGCATGAAGTCTGTTTTAAATAAAGACTGAGTGGAGAGAAGACTGGCTGCAGGGCAGCAGAGGGAGATGACAGAGGGGAGTGTGAGATGACTAAGCCTTGTGTGTGCGCCCAGAAAGGCTGAAAGAGGTGTGATGTACGACTGGAGATCACACCAACTGCGGCTTCCTGACACTGACCTGCTGGGCTCACACTTGCTGGGTTCACACTCAAACATCATTAGCTCCACTGACGTGCACAGACACGTCGTGGCAGTCGGAAAGAAAGCACGCTCTGTGCTGAGGTGTGTGTAGGTGTAACAGTGGAGCGCTGAAACAGGTGGGAGAGATTGGTCCTGATCTGATGCAAGAGGAGATGGAGTAGGAGGAGACACAGCTGGCAGTCAGTGTGTGTATGCATAGTGTGTGTGTGTGTGTGTGTGTGTGTTTGAGGAGTGTGGGTGACTGTTTCATGCATGTCACCTCAGAGTGTGTTTCTACATATCTAATGCATCAGGACACTCAGTGCTACAGCGCCGGGTGTCACATAACAACATTTTAAACTTTCTGGAAACATTTTGACCAAACTCTAGAAACTAAATTAGAAAAGCAGTCGACGTCTGAATGAACTGAGCTGAGGAATTTACATATGGTGTTAAGGACCCAGTTTTACAGAGAGAGCTGTCGCCCTGTGATGAAACAAAACACTTGAATACAGATTTTAAACCACGAGGCATGGCGATGTCGTCCAGACTGAAATATATATTTACAACTAGATGGTTATGAATGCTATTTCACACATGTTTGCATTTAAACATGTTAACATTGTCACTGTGGGCATGTTAGCATGCTTTCATTAGCATTTAGCTCAAATAACCTCAGCGTCTGAGTACAGTTTCACAGAGCTGCTAATGTGGTTGTAAACTTTTATTGTTCTTATCGTCAGCATAATCACACAAGCCAACAATGTTTTAGTCTCTTCCTCTGTACTCTATTGATTTTGCGGCTCAGCCTCAAGCCCATTCATCCCGACTGAGCATGTTTCATCTGTTGAAGTCCAGATAAAACGGCATTTCAAGAGCATCTAGCTTCACTATGGTGATGTACTCTCGAGAGAAACAGGATCAGCAGCCGGGATGTAACAATGATGCTGATATTTTATTTTTGTGTCATGCACACAAACATGTGCCCAACCCTCATGGGTTTACAAGACATCCTTACAATGGTGTTGGAATTATCAATCTGAAGTACATGTTAATTTACCGCTCTGTCCTCAAACAAAATGCTCTGCCTTCTATCCTAGACAGCCCGCAGAAAAAGTTCCCCTTCTGAAACAAAAGCAACATAAATCAACATAGATAGGGGTCATTTTACTTTAAAGGACATCATACGTCTTCATATACAGGTCAGTTAAACAAGGAATTAACCTCATTCTCAACTTCACCTAAATTCTACAACAAACAAATCCTGTCCTCCTCTGGAGGGCGTTGAACCTTCCAGTCTCTATGGCTAATAGTAACATTCCTGAGGTCAACTGTGCACACTGCGATCTCTGTCTTTTGTAAAGGTTATACTTCACGTAAGGTTTCACACTGTAGCTGTGTTATATGAGACATTAAGTTTTGGTTTTTAACCATATGTCAACAGAACATTTTTCTCCAAACATGAGAAACATTTCACTCCTGATCTCCTGAATATCACAGATTAACCTGTTGTGGAAAATAAATGACAAGAAAATAAATGACAAGTGCAAATAAAATAAGGATTTTAACTCATTAGCCCGGGGGTGACCATCGGATATGACAAAGTACATTTCTTTTTTATTATCAGACATCCTCACAAGTCTGTTCCAGAGTCGAAGTTGACATTTATGCCTGATGTCTGGAGGTTCCCATCCCACATCTCCACTAATGGCCAGGACTGAAGTGGATTTATGGAGACCCAGGAAGGAGTGAATCGCTCTATAATGCATCTGACTGAGCTAAAAAAAAAGTTAAAAACAGAAGGCTCCCTGGAGCAGTGACCTCTGTTGTGTATTCTGACGCCTCTGTCCCTCAAAATAATGGAAATGAATGTGTAAACATGTAAAAAGGCCTGCTAGAAGGTTACAGCCAGCACTCTACTGGTCATGTACACCACTGCACGAAATGTTGCCTCATTTGCGATGCCTCACAAAGGAGATAAGGGTGCATACACTGACATCTCAGGCCAAAACCTCCTTTTTCTCTGTCTACATGTCACACTGAAAACAGAGCTTCTGAGCATCTTCACCCTGTTCACCAAAGATTCATTTTCAGTGACCTGAAACAGTTTGCATCTGGACAAAAGACCAAAGCACAGAGACAAAGCTACGTTTAAAATACAGCCCTGCACTTGTAGGGTGGACCAGGTGAGGTCCTGACTGTGTCCACCAACAGGAGCAGTATCCATCAGGGAGCGTGACACAGAGCCCGTCCTACTCTCCATAGCTGCTGAAGCAGCCCACTGTAAAAATGCCTTGTGCATAATGTGGAGATGTCACAGGTACAGCTCTCCTCAGAGCAATACATTCTAGCCAGCGGGCCTGTTACCACGGTATTTTGGGGAAATGGGACATAAGGGGGCAGCAGTAGCTCAGTCCATGGGGACCTGGCCTTGGAACCGGAGGATCACTGGATCAAGTGTCCGTATGGACCAAACAGAATGTCTGCTAGCGTTAATGGGGACTAAATGATTTAATCGTGTGGCTCTTAAAGATTTAAGAAATGTTATCAGACCGAATGGATCAAATCCTGATCAGTCATTTTACAGGGGCTATGATGCTCATAAAAGTTTTCCCACTGCTTTACAGATATCTAGTCACAATGTTAGTGTATGGATTAAATCTTTGTCTTTGTGTCCAATGGCGCCCCATGACGGACCTGAATGCTGTAGTTACATCGTTTGGCCACTACGAAAACTGGATTCAAAGCCCAGCCCTGTTCCTGGGGGCTTGGGCTACAAGTTGCAAACTGATTGATGGTGACGCCATGATATTACTGCATGGTTTAAACCTATGTAAGCACATGTCATGTTTTGTTTTACAGGAAGAAAACATGATTAGATTTTGATATAAGAAGAAGGACAAAGATGACTTATTTTTTCTTATTGGTAGCCTATGTATTATCAAATAAGTGCACAAAATGAGCGGGGAGGTGACTTCAAAGGGTTAAAAAGCATTTTTAATTTCATCTCGCTTTTTAACATGCAGTTTTCTACAGCAGACGGCTACAACTTCACTGAGACAGGAGTAAATTCTCTAAATTCTCTTTTTTTCAAACTCTTTTGACAACAGCGGAGCTCTAAGGTACAAAGACAATGCCAGTTGGTAGGAATAAAATAAATCCATTTTTTGGTTTGGGTGTTTTTACAGAGTTTGTTGACAGTAAGAAGAAAGTACTGTCAGCTTTATTGTGGCATTCAAAACTTTTCCAGGTGGGGCCTTTCAAATCAGTGACAAGCACAAGACATTTGCAGAAGAGCTTTCTCATTATTTGTTTTTTTTTAAGTTGATGTCTATTTTACAATTCTCATCTTTCAAAATGTCAAAGTCAGGTCTCAAAACATCATAAAAAACCCCTTTAATTAATGCACATGTGGGTGAACTCTACCATTAGCCTCCGCCCTCGTCTCACTCACCGTGTCGTAGGCAGTGAGCAGTTTGCGTGTCGGCTCTGAGAGGTTGACCAGAGCCTCCAGACATGGGTATCCCTCCTTCAGCACCATGGTGGCCCCCATGGGTCCCTCGGGGCTCTGCAGCCTGGTCGCCAGGCTCTGGATGCACTGCTTCAGTTTGGCCACCGTGGGGAGCCCACACTGCTCTTTGAAGCTGGCGGTGGTGCTCTGGAAGCAGTGAGACGGCAAAAGAGAGAGATGAGGAGGAAGAGGAGGAGGAAGAGGAGGAGAGGGGAAATAGTATTAGATCAGATGTACAGTTCCGGCTGTAAAATTAAGCTGGGGAAGGTCAGAGAGGGTGACACACACACACACACACACACACACACACACACAAACACACACTCCCATCCTATCCGCTGTCATCTGCCGTCCCTCTTGTGAATTAAATCAATATGGCAGTCATTGCCGCTTTTAATCCAGTGAAATCAGCCTTAGCTTAAGCGCATTTGGCAAAAGAGAAGACAATATGGCAAAAATGTGGAATGGAAAAATAATTTCAGCATTTAGAGGTTTTCCTTTTTTCAACCGCTGCAGGTGTGTGTCAGGATGCAAAATTGGGCTTGTTAACGGATCTGACAGGGACGGAAAAATAGGAATCATGTGTCAATCTGCTGAAATGCCATTTCGGGGTCACTTCATAATGGAGGCAAAAGATCTCTTTCTGCACATACAAGCACTAGAATGCAATTTGCCACCTGGCACAGCTCCAACTGGACTAGCGATTATCATGCCCCACCTGTGTGGAAGTGTGTGTGTGTCTGTGTATGTGTGTGTGACGGACAAACAGCAATAGAGGCATGATGAATAATAACAGACTGTGGCAGATGAGCCCACAGCTGGACTCATGGCAGAGAGACAGAGAGGAGGAGACCAGTGTACAAGTCAGAGGGAGAGGACGGTGAGAGTGAAGCAGGCGGATTAAATGCAGTTTGTGAATGAGTGAATGTGTGTGTGTGTGTGTGTGTGTGTGTGGGAGGGTGTCAGGGTTGGGTGATTCATGAGATGATAGGGATTTATCTCCCGACAGAGAATTTGATTTGCCGTTTATACTGAAGAGGCTATTCAGCTACTGTGGGAAATGTTAGAAACCAATGAGCCGGAGTGTTTCATGGTGATAGCTGAGTTACATCAGTGTCATGGAGTACCTTTATTTTTCAGATGACTGAATTTGCCAAAATGAGAGATTTCCTTTCAGTTAATTAATCCATAAATCTACACTACATGGCCAAAACTACTGTACGTGGACACCCAAACATTTTACTTATTGCTGAATGTGGAGGATCTGATTACAAAACCACAGTTGTTAAGGGAATAGTTTGACATTTAGGAAGTGGTGAAGGAAGTAATCCCTCTGTGTGTCAGTACTGTCAGCAAACTGTACTTTAAAGAAGCAGTCTGTAAGAATTAGTGCTGAGGATTACAACAAGCTGAAATTCCCCTGGTTAGAATTCCTCCAGTGTTCATTGTTCAGGAGGTTCCCAAAAAGTTGTCATCCGATGAAGATGCTGCACCAGGGTGCCCATATTTTCAAACACCAAAAACCAGGACTCTTAAAATGGTACTCTGCCGTTTTATCAAAAAAATTTAGGTAGTGTGTGTAAATGAACTGTGGTGAACTTCCCTCCTTCTAACCATCCACTCATCCATTTTCATCCGCCTATCCAGGGCCGGGTCGCAGGGGCAGCAGGCCGAGCAAAGCACCCCAGACGTCCCTCTCCCCAGCGACACTTTCCAGTTCCTCCTGGAGGACCCCGAGGTGTTCCCAGACCAGATGAGATTTATAATCCCTCCAGTGTGTTCTGGGTCTGCCCCGGGGCCTCCTACCAGTGGGACGTGCCCAGAACACCTCTAACAGGAGGCGCCCAGGAGGATCCTGATCAGATGTTGAACCACCAACTGACCCCTTTTGTAGCGAAGGAGCAGCGGCTCTACTCCGAGCTCCCTCCAGATGTCTGACTCCTCCCCAGGGCCGCCCCTCCCTAAACGCAGAACACGCGCTGTGCGTAGGGCCTCATCTTCCATGGGGGGCCACACTTTGTGCAAGGGGACGCATTTGCGCATATGCGCAATGGATGCGCACATGCACTACTGTGAGGCGCGCGTAGAATCAGCTCGAGGAAGGAGAGAAGAGACCTGACCGCCCATGCGTTGCTGCAATGACTGACAGCACTCGACATCTGAACAATCAGAGGGGTGCGCCGGCAGGCACTTGCAGAGCTGCAGCAGGTGAAAAGTTGTCCACATGTCGTCCAAAAGAGCCTCAGGAGTATGCGCGGGGACGGAAGGGCCGGCGGGCTCCACAGAGGGGGAGACCCGAGCCTCGGGGGTATGTGCGGGGCCGGGAGGTCGGATGCTCCCATAGAGGGGAGAGGGAGAAATATAGCTAAATAAGATGAAAATAGAAAATGTCTCTGTATTTTATTTCTGTTTTCAGTGTTTAATTAAGGTGGGAGAGGCGGAGGGCTGAGGGAGATCGGACGCCTCCAGAGAGGGGAGAGGGAGAAATATAACAGAATAAGATTAAATAGGAAAAACCTGTCTCCCTCTTTTATTTTATTTTCAGTGTTTAATCAAGGGTGAGGGATTGAGGTGGTGGAAGTTACTTTCTTTTGATGAGTAATTGATGGCTATTTTTGACTCAGATTTGTTTATTTATTTATTTCAGTATGAAGTTATTTTTATTTAATATTTATTTATTTATTTCAGGTTGAATTTTTTATTTTATTTGACTCATACAGCCAAACTACTGTATCTACAGTTCATTTGTTATTGCCAATAAAGGTTGTCAAGTTAAATGGCAAGTTGTTGTATGGTCATTTTGTACCTATGATACATTTGGGATGGGGGCCTCCAAATAAAATTTCGCTTAGGGCCCCAATTTGGTCAGGGGCAGCCTTGCTCCTCCCCCTATCTCTAAGGCTGAGCCCAGACACCCTACAGAGGAAACTCATTTCTGCAGCTTGTATCCACGATCTCATTCTTTCGGTCACCACCCAGAGCTCATGCTTAAAACCAGTCTAGATATCCCATCTCGACCCCCAGCGAAAAACACAGCTAAGTGTCACTGGCTCTTGGTTGGCTCTCGGGCTGTTGCTCCAACTACAGGCTGTGCTTCCGCATTTCCGTACTGCCCACCACCCATGCTGCCACCACGAACACAAAGAGTATAGAAGCAGATCAAGAGACGGATGGACAGAAATCCAATAAAAGGTAGTAACTAGGCAGCACTAATCAAATATATATCAAGATTATGGCACTGCACTGTCTATTTCTCGCCTGCAGTATTTTTAGAAACATAATTTAGTGCCCCATTAGCTGTAATAGTGAAACTTTGTTAATAGGCGGTGGGTGCCATACTGTTTCCTGCACAGTTAAAATGGAGGCTGAAAAACCTCAAGATCAAGCAGTAAAACTAAGCAGTGTTGATCAAATCTGCTGCAGTGTAGTGCATTCTGGTAGTTGTAGGTTTCCTCCCTCTTTACCAAAAGCATTCTTTTCTCTGGTTCTTAACAACGATTTCAAAAGTATCATGTCTTTCTCCTGCAGAGACATCCTGGTTTCATTTACAGGCCTCCTCTCCAGGAGTGAAACACCTCTTTAAGTGTATTTTACGCTCATGCACGTGCACATGTATGCGCTCATGTATGCACCATAGGTGTTTTCATCAGGATGTGGAACAATTACTGCAGTGCTTACCACACCTACAGAGACACTTGTGTTTTGTCATCTGAAACCCACGAAACATAGTTTATTTGCAAACTACACACACCAGACTAGCTGTACTTGGATGAAAAGCTCTAGTTTTGTTTCAGCAGGTCTCCTGAGCTGCACGTCTCACATGGCTGTCACTGGTGTTTGCCCCGATGATGAAGGTCACAGTGACAAGAATTTTATTATGTTGATCTGTTCTGTGCACACTGCATTCATGTCCATCCTGGGGGAGAGATCCCTCCTCAGTTGCTCCTCCTGAGGTTTCTTCCATTTTTTCCCTGTTAATGTTTTTCCTTATCCACTGTGCAGGTCCAAGGACAGAGGGATGTCATATGTTGTAAAGCCCCCTGAGGCAAACTGTGATTTGTGATATTGGGCTTTATATATAAAATGTAACTAAATTGAATGGTTTCTCTTCCTGCTTTTAGCCATCGCTTATGTTTTTTCATTTTATTATGATCTCTTATATCAGCGTTTCCACCGAGTGTGACCGACGGTGTACTCTTGCAGTGTGAGCAGCATTTTGTTGCTGGGTACTCTACGAAAGAGGAGCACGTCTCCTGGAGCTGTTTAGAAAAGAGAGACTGTCTTCAACATGACAGGCAACCATACTGACAGGTTCTGTCAGGAAGAGCCGCGAGCGTCATGGCAACAGCCCTGACAATGACACATTGATTGATTGATGCACATACAGACAATCAGTGGTGAATTGAGACTGAGTGGGACAGAATATCATAAACGTCTCTGTAAGTATTGAAAACAACTATAATATCATTATTCAAATATAAGTTATAACCAGGACACTTTGGTGAATTTTGAATGAGAACATTTTAGTGTTAAATTGGGACTTGGAACACCCAGTTTGGAGCCAGGACAATCCCAGATAAACTGGGATGTCTGGTCAACATATGCTGAGCAGATGGATAAAATGGTGTTCATCAACAAGCTGCTGCAGCACATGACCCCCTCTAACACCACAAACTGTCCTTGTTACTTTGCTGTTGTATAAACATTCAACAAACAACATGTTTTCTGGTTTAAAGATGTTGGTCATAGGCATCTATTTTAACTTTGGAGTGAGTCAGGCAGCTGTTTCCCATGGATGGGTCACTGAATGGACCTGCCATGCACAAGTCCAGGGGTCCAACATGTCATGGGCCCCCCGGCCTTCATTTGCAAGATGTCACTAAAACTACCAACCAGGAAGAGACTCAGAAAGACCAAAAAGAGATGCAAAGGACAGGCCAAGAGACACAAAATAACTACCAAAAAAACTGTCGAAACAACCACAAAGAGACATAAAATGACTACAACAAGACAAAACGACTACAAGGAGGCACAAAATGACTACAAGGAGAGACAAAATGACTACAAGGAGACACAAAATGACTACAAGGAGACACAAAAAGACTACAAGGAGACACAAAATGACTACAAGGAGAGACAAAATGACT